TTTCCAATATCCAAATATTTCTGAAACTAAATCTGTTATGAAACTTCTTTGGGATTTTCAGTAGTGATGTCTGTCTGTCCTGGGCTGAGAAAAGCAGCTCTAGGTAGAAGCTGAGTGTGAGCCTTGAGTGAGCTGACCCAGTACCAATGCCAATATCCATCACTCTTCACTGGTGGATGAGGCTCTACAGAGGTTGGCTCAGTCACTAAAGGCTCGGAGACAGTTAGTGGCAGGGCGAAGGCTAGTTACAGGGCTGCTGACCCCCTGTCCTCTTTCTTGACAAGATATCATTTCACCAGCAATCAGCCTTTCAACATTGCATACGGGCTCTCTAGAGGCCTTTTCGTATGGTGAGCAGTTGTGTGTGTTCACTCTGGGCACCCCCAGATTTCTTGGGATGTGTGTGTGGTTTGCATTACTGTGAGATATAATCTATTTTCTCCAACAGGCTACAGGGTTTCCTGGCATTTTCAGAAAGATGGTAGTTCCCTAGTCACTTTTTATTTTAAAGATTTATTTTATTTATGCAACCAAGAACTGGGGTACAGGCCAGAGGTGCCTGTACCCTTGGGAGGGAGAGTGAGAGGATTCACTAGAGACAGAGTGGGGAGCAGAACAGGCAGATTTACTGAAATGCACTGTGGCGAGACTGGAGAGGTCTGCTGTGCCATGCAGTTCAGCTCCCTGGACAGGAACCAAAGTGGTGCTGTAGTGGCTGCTGATAGCTTCACAGTGCTGAGACTTAACCCCGTGTGCCACCAGGAAGGCTCTTTACTCACTTTTTTTTGCATATTAAATCTGATTTAAAACACATTTGTTTCGGGGGGTAGATTATGATTTGTAGGAGGAAAAAAAGGTTTTCAGGGTCTGGCATTGTTCTATTTCATGACCTAGGGACTTATTCCATAGGTTTGTTTACTTTAACGTTCTGTTGAGTTATACAAATTTAGAATTTATGCATTTTAACACTTCATTACAAATTTACATTGAAATAAAAGACTGGGCAATCATAGAGTTACCCACCTTAACTGTAATTTGTAGTCACTTTTAATTGATATAGAAGGAAAGACAGATTTGGGACTACTAAGTAATTTACCATGGAAACTCCAGCTCCATCCATGATGAATCCTTTTATGTATATAAATATGATTTAAACCTTGGTGAGCTTGATAGGCACATTTTATAGCATATTACTATTTATGTTATCATTTGCAATGGTCTTCCTCTTGAAACACCAACATGTTACTTTCATTTAATGCTTCTGTTCTACTTTCTAGGTTAGTTAACTGTGCAAAATGTCTTCTCTCAACAAAATTACAGTCTTCTGTATAGATGATATTTTTGAATTATAGGTATCAAAAATCTAAGGAAGAGGTAGGAGGAGGGATTATTGGTGGTGTTCTAGTTCTTGATCTAGGTATACATATTTTACTACAATTGATTAAGCATTTCAGCTATTATTTGAATACTTTCTGTATGTTGTCTTTTGATTAAAACTTGTTATATACATTGTATAGTTCTATTTTGTTAAGACACTGTGTTTTCTGAGTTTTTGGAAATATTATTCTCCTATATTGCTTGTGGAGATGCAAATCAGTACAGTCTCCTTGTGAGGAAATTTGAACAAATTACCAAAATGAAAAGGCCTTTGGCTGAACAATAGCTAGTCTAGAAATATACCCTAAAGTCTGGTATACATTTAAGGTCATTCATTGTCCATAATAATAAAATTGGTAACAACCAATGAATGAACAAGTAAGTAGTTGTACTTCACACAATAGAATATTATTCAGCAATTAGTAAGAGGGAGACAGGTCCATTTTTGCTGATTTGGAAGGATCATGAGTTAAAAAGCAAACACAAGATGCCTCTGTGTTAAATATATGAGTATGTATTTGCTTGCATTCTCCTAGAATATCTGTAGCTGGATACTTAAGGAATAGCTATTAGTGATGGCTTCTGAGACAGGTAGGATTGAAAGGATAGCTATTTTTCATGATATACTTGCCTGACGAACATTTCTCATTTTATATGTACCTACAAACCATTCAAAAAATAAATTAAATGTAAAGTTGATTCTTTGATGTGGCCTTTTCCTCACTCTCATTTAGGGACTTCCTAAACATCCCATAATTAGTAAGTCTGCCTGTACTTTATTCTAACAGCCTCCAAAGTCATCACATGGAGCAAAGGTCAAACTCTTTTTCCATGATATTGAGAAAAGCAGACAGGTCACTGTGCTGCTTGTGACCTTATTAATTGAGTTTAGACCTCAAGTGAATTTGAACAGATTTTTTTTTAAATAAAACTTTCAATGGCTCTTTGTCCTCTTTCGTTTCCCTCATCCCATAAGGCAGGAAGAGAGGGGAAGGCAAGTATTCCACTTGTCTTTAGTCAAATTTAAAAATGCCACAAACTGGAAGCAGAGGGGGCCGTGGGGGCTTGTGATTTGACTAGCAAAGGAAGAGAAAGTATCTGTCCAACATCTGTAACAAGCATATTGAAAGAAGCCAGGCATTATCTCAATGGCCTAAAGATCCACAGTGCTTGAAAGCCCTCAACAGTAAAATATAACCATATAATCCAAGGCAATCCCTGCCCCCCACCCCAAGGAAGAAATAAGAAAGGTCTCAGAAGAACAGTACAATATAACTATATAATCCAAGGTGATCTCCTCAAGGAAGACTCAAGAAAGGTCTCTGAAGGAACCAAACCGGCTTCCAAATCACTGTGGCCATCTGTAAAAGAAGGAAGGGAGACCCAGGCCAGGGATGAGGACGTGGTGAGGGCAGTGTCAAGGGTATGCTAGGATGAAACTCAAACTCAGATTTGCAAGATCTGCAATGCACAGGTCTTTTGTCAGGCATATTTCAGGCCAAAAAAAAAAGCTTGAATCAGTTACTCCTGGTTTATTGGATGATAAAGGGAAAGCAAACCTGATACTTGCAATGATTTTAACCTGCTTTTAATTTGACCAAGATATATTATAGTAGAGCCTATGATGACATACTCAGATCTTGAGTATGAGATGTTTCATTAAGTCCCTGGACTCAGACTACCTGAACTCAATGGAAGCTGCCTCTTGGGAGCATTGTGACCTTGACAAGCTACTTAATCTTTCCAGGTTTCCATTTCCTTTTCTGTCTTTTGGGGATACCAATATCTGGTATGGTTGATACCGGGATTATCAAGCACTTAAAGAGGGTCTGATCAACACTACTGTAATATTAATGGCCGTTACTCCCTCCAGTTTCTGAAGAATCATTTGTAAGTGGGAAAGCGTAAAACTGAAAAAGGAGGCATGGTCATGGTAATACATGATCAGTTCTGGCCACTGTCTTAGGCTTGATATAAGAAATCACTGTCTCATATAAGGGCTGTCCAGCAACTTCTGGATGGGTGGAGAAGTAGAAGCTCCTGTCACAGGCGGAGTTCAAGCCAGGTGGGAGAACTCAAGGGAGCTGAAAATAGACTCCTGATGGGGTGGAGGAAGGACCAGATGACCTCTAAGGATTCTGATAACCCCAAGAGATATGATTCTTCCATCTTTGAGACCTACAACCTTGGGTTACTAGGCCCTTAGATGTGGTTTTGTATCACCTTGGATGTGAAGAGTACCATCTGTCCAGACTTTTGTCACCAGATGTAAGAGAACACAATCTGCTCTAACAGAGGAGTCAAAATCTACAGTGGGGGTTGAGGGAGAATTGTATCAGTTAACACTGCTCCCTCTTGCTTTCTAAACCTAAGGTAACCAGAGAGGGTGAGCCCACCCCTGGAGCCCTGAGGCCCTGAAGGCAGGAGGGTGGTGCAAGTTCCTCTCAGTTAGCCTGGACTGCTTCCCTCAGAGGGGCACTTCCTAGGGTCTTTGATCTGGCCCCAGGCATTAGCAGAGGCTGTGTATCCCTTTCGGTTTATTTCCTCTTGTTTTATTTATTGTATTGCTTTCTCCTTAACAGCTTTAAAATCAGAACAACAGCATGCAATGGGATTTGAGTGCCAGGGTCACCCTTCTCACAGCGCCATCAGGAAACCTGGCACAAAGGAGCATTTTACAGAGTCCTTGGGCAGTAAATTCAGCGAAGCTGGTGTCTTTTCCCAGCCAGGTAGATAGATGATCAGGAACCTGGATCCTGGGCTTGCTGGCCAGGACACCCAATCTGGCGCAGGTCCCCAACCCCAGCCAGATGGAGGTCCTTACTCAGCCAGGTCTTCAGCGTCCGCCAGGGGGCTCGAGTTCGCGTCCAGCTCCCAGACACCAGGCTCAACCAGGAGTTTCACCTCTTTCCCTGGAGGGTCTCAAATTGCCTTCCTTTGCAAGGAAGGGACCCTGAGCCCCTACGCCGGGCCTTCAGCTACATCCGGTGTTTCCTTCTGAGTGGTTAGATCTCAGCTCTCCATCTGCATGCCTTAAATCCCATTTATCTTCTTAGCGCCCCAGACTTAGCCGGGCTCCGCCCCCTCTTCCTCTAACCCTCCTCCACTAACAAATCCTAGTCCAAAGCCCCGGCAACCCCCTCTGGGTGCTGGTCAGACAAGAACAACCTTAGGGTCTTCGGAGAGTCCCCAAGCTCAGCAGACGCGACTTAGAACGGTGTTGCCTAGGAAGGGTACAACCGGGGTGGGGTGGAGCGAACCAATGTTAAGATTTCAGGGTCAGGACCAGGGCAGAAGGTCCCAGACTCACTGTCACCTAACTCCTGCCCTGCACCTCTGAAGTCGGCTCTTCTTAATGCCTTTTCACACCCCCCAACCCCCAATTTAGGTCACCAGCTGGAAAGGGCTGAGCTGTTGCCTAGAGGTGGGCGAAGAGCAAATTGTCTTAGGGCCGGCCCCTCCGGCTTCCCCTCGCTTGCAAGCCCACCCCAGGGCTGGTTCGGCTTTCTCCTTCCCCCCCGCAGCCAGCGGGTTCCTCCCCGCCGGCCGCCCCCGCCCCCTCCCTCCCCCCGGAAAAGCCCTGCTGCTCTCAGCCGGCTTCACTCCTGCACGCCGACCTCCGGCTGCTGTCCTGCCTCCTTGGATTCCTGCACGGTTCCTGGTCCAGCTCCCTCAGCCCCACAACACTTCGGGGGATTCACCCGGGCCGCGACCCCCAAGTCTCCCAGGAGACGCCCTTTAGCCGCGCGCCCAGGACTTGCTGAAACTTTGCAGGCGCCCGCGGCGAAATGGATTTATTCCGAGGCATCTTGCTCGGACTCTGGCTCCAGGCTTCCAGCCTCGGACCCGGCGCTGCGTCTCTGGAAGCAGCTCTCGGAAAACCAGGTAATAAGCTCTAGGCGCCGGGGCAGTGCCTGCCCGGAGCGCCTGGGTCTGGGCAGCTGGCTAGGATGCTGGGCGACGCGCCGCTTCTAGCTCCTTCTCTCTCCCCTGAGTAACGTTGGCTTAGCTAGATTCTTCTTGGCTCAAAGCTGTGAAAAGACGCGAGCCTTGCTCTCCCTCAGCCCCGGCTGTTCCAGGGATATTTGTTTGTTAAAAGAATGATCTATTTTCCAGGCACAGTCGAGGTGGAGGGCTCTGTATTTGACCACAGAGAACTGCGAGTTGAGGACCTATCATACTGTCTCAATTACAGAGGACTGCAACTGTGCACAGAAGTCAAACAGTTCTTGCCCTGTCTCTAAACATTGAATTCATATTGTCCGGGGCCCAGCCATTTCCTGCTAAGTGTCTGAAGGCTTGCCAGGAGTCGCCTTTGCCCATCTCTGGTTCTGGCTGTGCCCACTCACCGTGTGGGGATGGACCCTCTGCAGTCGGGATCCTCTGCCACTCAGGGACCGTGTTCTGAGAAAGTAGCTCCCAGTGTGTTGCTAATTGGATCGTGTTGTGAACTTCTGTCTTTCTGATTTAGCAAACATGTATGGCCTTCTAGACTATACAGAGATTTGGCCAATTTGAAAAACGTTAGCTTGTATTTCCTCTGGTTATACAGGTAAAAAGTCCTCGTGTATTTTTGTTTACTTTCATTTAGCCTGTGCTGTGAGATTACTCAAAGTGGAACATCCTGCACAATAAAGTTCCAAACATAGCTCCCTGAATAACGATTTTTATTCTTCTTTGCTGAGACTATATTTAGAATTCAGAAAAATCTGTTTTTTCTTAGTTTACTTTGTAAGCGAAGTCGTCTTATGGGATTAATTATGGCTTATGAACAATGGAAAGCCATATAATTTTATTTGAATGCAGCCTACAAAACTTTGCAGAAAGTGCAATTTGTCTCCACAAATAATGTTACTCTAAGAAAGGGACATCAGGGGAAATTTATCAGACGGCAAAGAAAATAATATTGGCAGGTTCCCATATGGCTTCTTAAATATTTTCGCTGAACAAGGATCCTCCATTTGGAAGAATGACTTGTTGCCTTTCAGCTCCCAGGACTAGAGCTGTATACAGAGGACTGCAACTGTGCACAGAAGTCAAAGTTCTTGCCCTGTCTCAGAACACTGAATTCAGTATTGTCGGGGCTCCAGCCTTTTCCTGCTAAGTGTCTGAAGGCTTGCCGGGAGTCACCTTTGCCCATCTCAGGTTCTGGCTGTGCCCACGTACCATGTAGGGATGGACCCTCTGCAGCTGGGATCCTCTTCAGGCTGTATCTATTTTCACCAGAACCTTTCTATCTGCCTTGAAACTTAGAGTCATTATCATAACCTGCAGTACGCTGAAATTACAAGCTATTCTATTTCCACTGTTCAATTCATTTTGGAGATAATAGCAGCAGTCCAAGGTAATATTATATTAAATTGTTTCTCTTCCTACATGCTCATACTCACCTCTTCAAGGTTTCCAATGCAAGGTTTCTTTCTAAGGTTTCTCCTTAGGATAACCACATCATGATCAATTGCATTCTGCAGATTTATTTGCATAAAACCACCTCATCACATTTTTTAAAACAATGCATCATTATTTCTATAGTTCTTAAGAGTGACAGCATTTGCAATATGCTTTTAAGGCTAGATGCCAATCCATTTGAGGAGAAATTTTTGAAAAAGTGCTTCACAAGAATCTGTGGTATAAAACTGCTCATGTGGTTCACCATGTTTTATTTCTTCTTATTTGTGTGTGTGTGTGTGTGTGTGTGTGTGTGTGTGTGTGTGTGTAGTATCTCTCCTAAATATATTTTCTACCTGATTCACCCAGGGTCTCGTTTTGATATTCACACCATGACTATACCTGGTGGCCTCTTTGGTTTTATGTGAAGCATAAATAGGGTTTTGATAGTAGCAATTTTTCCTTTTACTTTGGCATATTAAAGATATCAACTTTGAGGTAGAAGAGGTAGAAGGCATATTTGCCAAGATTCAGCCTAACAGAGTTTTTCATTCTTTTGTAATTTTATCCAGAAACTGACTTTTAGGTTGGAAAGCAGCTCAGATTAAAATGACAGCTACTTCATAAACTTCAGGGTAAAATTTCCTCCTAGGCTCATTTACATCCATTGGATAGACTAGTTTTTGATCCGGAAAATTGGTCCAGATTAAAAACTGAATGTGCCCCGCTTGGCTCTGATGTGAACAGCGACCAGCTAATTTGTAATCTTCCCCAGACACCAGCAAATCCTGCGAGTATCCATATGGGAGTTTCTTTGTGCCTTGTTTCCTCAACAGAAATTGGTTGTGTGCAGTACTTTGAAGGTGGCGTGGCCACCACGTAAGCATACTCTCAAAACAGTCCTGTTTTATTTGGATGATCCTGTCTGCTTCCCCATCTCCATAATTCTACTTTTGACAAGTACAGTTTTGTTCAGGTACGTTCAAAATCAACCTGAAAAGTCCCCATCTCCATTTAACTCAGGTGAGGAAAAAAAACTAGACGCATCAATTATGGGTATACTTTGGGCTGGAAAGAGACAACCTTTCCCTCCTCCCCAAGTTAGTTTAACCTCTGTCACTGAATGTTAATAAAGAAGGCTCTCCATTTACTGAGAATGACAAGAAATGGCCGCTTTCAACTGAACCAAATTAAATAATAACAAACGCTAGTGAGGTGTTGGCTGCACTGTTCTAAGAACTTGATACCTACTGACTTAATCAATCCAACAACCCTATGAGGTGGGTACTATTATTACCTCTGTTTAACTGAAAGAAAAACTGTGGCTTAGAAAGATTAAATATCTCACCCGAAGTCACACCATTAATAGGTGACAGAAAGGGAATCCAGGCTCTGATATGCTCAGAACTAGAAACAGATTCCTTAGCAACCTGCTTCAGAGGCTGAACAGGGGCCTCCGCCAGGATAGCACCCTGCTGCTGTGTGTGGGGAGTCTGAGCTCCCCCTTACACCTTTGTACATCAGATTACAGCCAAGCCTCCAGAGAAAACAGCGTGAAGATCCCAGCCTGGGGTTCTGGAAGCTCTTGTCCACTGACCTCACCCACAAGAATCAGAGGCTGTAACGTGACAGAAATAATGAACCACTTGCTCTCTCTGAGTAAACTCCTGGGGGCTTTGCCTGTGAGCCCAGAGGGTCCACTAGACCTGGAAGTGGAAAAGTCTCCGAACACTGGTAGGGAATAGCACCTATCCTCTTCCAAGTCGTCCCAGTGTGCAGACCGATTATTGGATCCTTCATTCTTTTTCAGAGTACAAATTAGAATCATAGACCTGGAAGGAAGTGAAAAGTCTGCAATGGACAACTGGGCCAAGGGTGATTGAGTGACCTGCCCAAGTTGACATCAGAAGCTGAACTGGAACTGGCACCCAGACCCTAGTATGTGACCTCTAGAACTTTACCTTTTTATCAGCCCCACCAGCAAGTGTAGGGGGACTGTAGTAATGCCCGTGTGGGCCAGGAAGAAGAGAAAGGGAAATCCAGATAGCGCTGGAGCCAGTGTGAGACAAGCCACACACATTCCCATCAGCAGACTAACAAGCTTCCTGGCACAAAAACGGGGCATAAGATGAGAGGGCCCTGTATTCCCTTTAGCTTTTAGAATTTGCCTGTGGTGTCAGCACAAGGCCAGGGTCCACCTCAGAGTTCAGGGTTTCCTCTGGAAGACCTGGGACTTGACAGTAATTCTTAAGGAATTGCAGGTCTCTCACCTTGTACTGTCTACTTCCTCAGTACTTCTCTACCTGCAAAGATGGACCAAAATGGAGATCCAGGGAGATTCAGAAAGGAAAAAATGAAAGCCTGGCAGTTAGTTTGTGGGTAATATTCATTCTTGGCTGATGGTAGATACCTGCACCGGTATCTGGGTGGTTTCTGCTGATGCTAATACGGAAGCCGATGATCTTAGTGGTTAGAGGTCAAGGGTCATCCTCTTCTACTTCCTCCCTCTACCCTGAACAACCTGGTATCCCCAGACACTGGTGATGTCATCAATTATGACTCTCATTCAAGTTCATGTAATTTTGGGGAGGTTCATCTCTTGTGCATGTTCTTCTAGTTCTCTTTCGTGCTGATTTGGACTGCTTGACTTCTGGGGAAAAGTGAAGCTCCACCAGCGAGAGGCACAGAGGAGCGACATGGAGATGGAGATCCCATCCCGCCAGCCACTCCTGTCCTGTGCTCTTCAGGCATCATGGCAGAAATAGTTTCCTCTGAAAAATGTCCTTCCTCTCATCAGTCGTACCTCCCATTTGTCTCTGATAAAGAACTCCTCATCCAATGGGAACTTTGATTCTTCATGAGATAAACTGATACTGTGGTCAAGGTTAATATAACAGAAGACAGTGTTTGTTTCTGAGAATTCTTTCTCATGGAAGAGTGACTTAGCCAGCAAGGAACTGAGTGGTGTTTTTAGTTCTCATTTCTTATCCAGAGCCCAGAGTTTTAATTACCTTAGAATTCTTTGGGGAGTAGTTGTCCATCTGCTCATGGGTTACTGTAGCTCAACAGTGGTCCAAGAATCTGGAGCTAGATTTCTGGGAGACAGGGACTAAAGTGTCTGAGTCTGAGTGGAACCTCAGCTTCTAGGGGTTATCCTGTGACTATCCTGTATTCCTCTGCCTCACCCACCTAAGCAGGACTGATTTCTTCCAGCTGAGTAAATAAATAACATGCTACCTTGATTGCAACACAAAATATTATTTTGAGCTGCCCAAGATCTCTGCCACTTGTTTTGGCCACTGCATGTCATGATACAGGTATGGATTGGAAGTACACCTGCAGTTTCAGGGATAGTAAAAGCTAAGGAGATGTTGCAGGTCCTAGCTGGCTATTTGTAAGGGAAGCGCTCTACCCCAAAACCCTGTTTTTTTATTTCATTGATGATGGACTTCCATTTTGAAGAAGGAGCCCAGCTTCCTCAGATGTCTGAAATGACT